TTCTATTGTTTCAGCCACTGTGACCTTGACCCTTGACCTTTCGGCCCCAAATGCAATAGGCTTCTTAGGATTACCAAGAACAATACACAAACCAAATTTGAAATTCATATGTAAAGTATTTCTCAAGTTATCGCGCTGACAAAATTTCTTTTGTTTTAGCCACTGTGACCTTGACCCTTGACCTTTCGGCCCCAAATGCAAAAGGCTTCTCAGGATTGCCAAGGACAATCCACAAAACCAAATTTGAAGTTCATATGTAAAGTATTTCTCAAGTTATCGCGTTGACAAAATTTCTATTGTTTCAGCCACTGTGACCTTGACCCTTGACCTTTCGGCCCCAAATGCAATAGGCCTCTTAGGATTGCCAAGGACAATCCACAAACCAAATTTGAAGTTCATATGTAAAGTATATCTCAAGTTATCACGCTGACAAAATTTCTTTTGTTTTAGCCACTGTGACCTTGACCCTTGACCTTTCGGCCCCAAATGCAAAAGGCTTCTCAGGATTGCCAAGGACAATCCACAAACCAAATTTGAAGTTCATATGTAAAGTATTTCTCAAGTTATCGCGCTGACAAAATTTCTATTGTTTCAGCCACTGTGACCTTGACCCTTGACCTTTCGGCCCCAAATGCAATAGGCCTCTTAGGATTACCAAGAACAATACACAGACCAAATTTGAAGTTCATATGTTAAGTATTTCTCAAGTTATCGTGCTGACAAGATTTGTCCGGACACACACACCCACCCACACACACACACACCCACACGCCCACCCACCCACCCACCCACGGAAGGACAAGGCGGAAACAGTATGCCCCTTCGGCTTCGCCGCGGGGCATAATAAAACTAAGATTCACATAGTATATGTGTGTTTAATGTACTGGTACAAGAACAGATGTGTTGCTGAAATGAATTATCAATTAATAAAGTGATTAACAAACCGAAACCAAAACCGAGCGGTAAAAAGTACGGTGAAAGCTGTCTTAGACGCTTGCGACCAGCCGTACGTGATACCATGGAGGATTCCTCCATCCTGATACTAGTGCAGCTGCTGCCATGCAGCATGCTTAATTCCCCAGCGGACCACACTATTTGTGGTAATGAAGGGGTGGTGTTCTTTCTTGGGAACAATAATTACCAATATTTCCGCTGACCGCCCTGAATCCTCCAAAATCCTTTTTGCAAATTGGAGGAATTTGCAGGATTGAGGTTACATGGACAAAGTGCATTGCTGATTTCGGAGTACGCACTGTGTCAAGGTCTTGGGCCGGACCTTGTGTTGTTTATGCTCAGCCGTGCATAAATTTAGTCCTTGATTATACTTGACATCCTCCGCACTGCTCCAGGATGTCACTGCCTCTGCCTCAGCCCATTGACAGTCATAGCCGGAGGATTTTGCAGGATTCAGGCAGTGGTCACCCCTCCATGGACCATATTCAAGAAACAACGGAGGAATTTGCAGGATTGAGGCTATATGCTATTTTTCCATGAGGCCAATTGGAGGATTTTGCAGGATTGAGGCTACATCCTAGCAAAAAGGCCTAGGGAGTTAGGGTTAAAAAAAAAAAAATGACGACTAATACTTGTTATGGTGTTCGAAATATTTCTTTTTTAGATAATAAGTTGTTCAACGTCACAATATATATATATTTTTTGAAATGTATTCAAGAAACGATATAAAACTAAAAAAGGGGACTGAATCACCCCTTGCAAAATTAATGGATTCGCCCATGAAAATGTCAGCATCGTTTCCTACGGCGCTACAGGACAAGATCTTTGGTTTTGATTTTTTGAAGAAAGTTACGATCGAAACTTGAACTTTCAATGTAACTACTCGCTAGTAATCACACAAATTTGATAAATTTTGAGGTAAAACGGGACCTGTTTAGTCTTAGGGCAAAACAAATCAGCAACTGTTTCCACAAAAGCAAGATTTGTAACGCTCCAGTCAGACAACACCCGGTGGGTTGCATACTCTCTCACGTCACGTGCAGCGGGAAAATGTTGTCATTCCCCGGCGCATGCTGCCGGGCCATGCATTAACTTTTAAGGCCGTGGACTGGACGGGGTAGCCGGCAGCAATTCCCGTATTTTATTTCTCATCATCAATTTCCTTATTTGTTTGTAAGAGTATCGATTGTAAATGATTTGATATAACTTTTGTGGCCCTTTTTATTTATAGCCCTGTAGTGTAAATGGAACTGGTTCAGAACATTTTGACTAGAATTTGGAGGCCTTACAAAATTGAAACTGCTGCGGTTGGTGCGGCTTATACGCCGATGCGGCTTATACGCCGACTTCAGATCTTAATTTGCAGATTTTTGCGTGCTGCGGCTTATACGCCGCGCGGCTTATATTCCGAAAATTACGGTAGTACCTTACTGTATTTGTGTATTATCAGAAACGAATAGAGACAGATTAAAGAGGACTTAGACCCTGATTAATTTCATCTGTTATGATTTTATTAATTTTTTTATACCAAGATATATCGCGATATATATCGTATCGTTTGATATGTATCGTGATACGTATCGTGTCGTGACACAGGCGTATCGTTTCAGCCTTAGTGTGTTGTCGCTGCGCTGTCATCGTCATTTTACCCTCAAATTTCCCTCGAAAAATCTAACCCTGCCCTCTATCTGTATGCAGTATGACATACCTGTTTATTGAGAATGTCGCCTAGTACTACTACTAGTACTAGTTTGGTTGGTCTAATAAATTTAAAGTGGATTTTGTTCCCTTACAGGAACTGGGCCCTACACTACACGATCGCCACTCGGACTAACTCTCCATAGACTTTGTATCCTCAATCCTCCATAATTTGCGCAAGTAACACTTGCAACGCGCGTGTGTTGTCACACACTGACATAGGCTAGCTTGAGTAACTCCAGCTGACATGCTCCATATTCATTCACATGTAACGCTGGAGGCATAACTTGTTCGTTAGAATGTGGTAGCAAGAGACCCTAAAAAAATGGCCTCTCAAAAATTGTTCATTTTCAACTCTAATATCCCACCCCAGAGTTCATTTACATACCTCATACATTCAGCAGTCATTTACGAAGCCTAATGATCGACTTGAAACAGACCACACAAAAAAATGTGAAAAATCTTGACGATTTCGGTGGCTTGTCCGTAAAAAAACACCAGTTCCAACGGCTGTCGTCCATTTTGTTTTGCTAATTATGAAAATGTATGGGCTGGGATATGAGAGGTGAAAATTAACAATTTTTGAGAGGCCATTTTTTTACGGTCTCTTGCTACCACATTCTAACGAACAGGTTATGCCTCCAGCGTTACATGTGAATGAAAATGGAGCATGTCAGCTGGAGTAACTCAAGCTAGACATAGGCTACAATTTACAAATTGAATGCGAGTGCGTAGAATTTCGTAGCTTTAGGGGGTCTGCCGATATATTGTTGATGTACCCTAACGTGGCGCGGCCCCCAACGCCACGCACTTTGATTTTTCGCCTTTAGCGCCTACCTAGAGCAAAGGTTTTAACTGAAATTTCACAGAAAGGGAAATTTCATCAAGTTCTAAACACTCCTGTTCATAAATTGCGAGTTTATTTACCAGCAACAAAGTTAGAAGAAAAATTTATTTGGGCGTGATTATCCAATTTATTTTCAAGTGCAAAGTGAACCCTTAGAAATGCCCCGAAAAATAAGAAAATAATTTTCTGACAAACATCTGGCTGGGTATGTAAGTAGAGATAATAATTATTTACCAGAATTTATCAAGTTTACAGAAATTCTTAAATGTTAATTTGGAATTTTCGGAGATTTATTCAAGTGCGCCACGTTAGGGAACACTCCGTCAATTTGTGCCCAATTTCCAGACGCCACCGTTTTTTAATTTCGGATTAAATTTCATGAAACCGAAATTGTTCACAGAGGTTAAATGGCAAGCATTAATAAGGCAAAAGTAATAGTATTTTACTGCATGAATTTGAGGTTTGTCAACAAAGAGGTTTGGCAACACTACACGAAGAAAGTCGGGTAAGCTTCGAAGTGCGCCACGTTAAGGAACACGACTAGGTCTAGCAATGTCTAGGTAGGGCCTACCTTAGCCCCATAAATGTGGCCTATTTACTGGACTGCCTCCGTAAACATAGGCCACACATCCACATGTACAAAAAACGTGTCGACTTTGCCAAATTTTGATTTTCACATTTAGGCTTACTTTGTAGTTTTTTTTTGCTTTAGAAGCATTCTCACCCTCTATATAGGCTAATCAGAAAGTGCTGCCTTTTTCAGATGTTTAATTTTTGTGAAATTTCATGTTGAAATTTTGATACGCAAATGTGTGCAAATGTATCTGGAAATTTCACGAACAATGGACATCTGAAAAAGGCAGCACTTTCTGATTAGCCTATATAGAGGGTGAGAATGCTTCTAAAGCAAAAAAAACGTAAAAAGTAAGCCTAAATGTGAAAATCAAAATTTGGCAAAGTCGACACGTTTTTTGTACATATGGATGTGTGGCCTATGTTTACGGAGGCAGTCCAGTAAATAGGCCACATTTATGGGGCTAGGCCTACCTATAATACCCAATCGCGGAAGTGGCGTCCAAGGGCGGATCCAGGGGGGGCCAAAGGGGGCCATGGCCCCCCCCCAAAAACGAGACCAATTTTTTTTTTTTATGTGACATCGCAATAAAGGCAGGCAATGAGTACACCACCATCTTTTCCTCAAAAAAACATTGGTTAGTGGTCAGAAATTGCCTCAGATCGCACCACAGAGCATCTAGAATCCAAAAATTTTTCGGGGCCCTTAAGCGGGCCCCGGACCCCACGCCGTAATTTTTTGGACCCACTTTTTTGGGGTCCAAAATTTTTTTTGGCCCCCCCCCCCCCAAAAATTGTGTTCTGGATTCGCCCTTGGTGGCGTCAGGGGATTGCGTCAGATTGCAACATTCTGTCCTCTTTACAACATGTTTTAAGACCTTTTTACAAACTTTGAAAAAAAATCGTGTTCCTTCAATTTTTTCATTACCTTGCTCTTGGCCCGAATGATGCCATGCCGGTTGAATTCCGATTTGTCTGGACACGTGCACGATATTCACGGGCGTGGGTATGGTATTGACTTGCAGACGTGCAGAACTCTGCGGAACTCTGCAGAACTAGGAATATAACACCAAATTAAGATTAAATACTGGCTTTAAAAGTACAGCAAGGGCCCAATCTCATTCTTAAGTCCCAAAATCCTCATAAACCTGCCCTTAAATTAGTTAAAATAAAAGATATCCCACCTGTTTGTGCCGTCGTACCATCCGTACGGTATAATAATTGTATGTAGTATTTGCAGAACAGTGCAGAACACATGCTGTAAAGGGATACATGCCGTTTACATACAAACCAGGGGTGCAGTGAAACTCAGTGCTTTGTGAAGCACGTGTATTAAACAGTTGATACTAGGGGGATGATGTGCTGCTGCAGAACGAATTCTGCAGAAGTAACATTTTTGGAATTATCGTAATGTTTTATTTGTAATGTCGACAATTGTCTGATATCCTCGACAAATCCTCTCTTTTTTTTCTTTGGACAAAAACATTAAAAAAAAAAACACGGGACGGCCCTCTGTATAGTCGTGTTCCCTAACGTGGCGCACTTCGAAGCTTACCCAAATGTCCTCATGTAGTGTTGCCAAACCTCAGTGTTGACAAACCTCAAATTCATGCAGTGAATTACTGGTACTTTTACCTTATTAATGCTTGCTGTTCAACCTCTATGAAAAATTTCGGTTTCATGAAATTTAAGCCGAAATTAAAAAACGGTGGCGTCCGGAAATTGGGCAAAATTTGGCGGAGTGTTCCCTAACGTGGCGCACTTAAATAAATCTCCGAAAATTCCAAATTAACATTTAAGAATTTCTGTAAACTTGATAAATTCTGATAAATCATTATTATCTCTACCTACATACCCAGCCAGATGTTTGTCACACAATTATTTTCTTATTTTTCGGGGCATTTTCAAAGGGTTCACTTTGCACTTAAAATCGGAAAATCACGCCAAAATAATTTTTTCTTTTAACTTTGCAGCGGGTAAATAAACTCGCGATTTATGAACGGGAGTGTTTATAACTTGATGAAATTTCACTTTCTGTGAAATTTCAGTTAAAACTTTTGCTCTAGCTAGGCGCTACAGGCGAAAAAATCAAAGTGCGCCACGTTAGGGGCCGCGCCACGTTAGGGTACATCAACAATACTAAGAGTTCCATGTTTCACCCAGGCAGCGCGATCGATGGGTACAGGCCTCAGAGAGTTCCGCGTTTTAAACAGGCAGAATGATGTACGGTATGTACAGTAATGGGTCCGATGCTGTGGGAGGGGGCATCTTTATCGCTACAGAACCAACATTAAAAATGATCACAATGTTTTAATTTTAATGTGGATAAGTGTATTATGTCCTCAACAACTCCTGTGATTTTTTTCTGTGCAAAATTCACACGGGAAGACCTTCAATAATAAGAGTTCCGCGTTTTACCAACTCAGGTTTTTGGGCAAATAGGCCTCATGCACGGTATGTACAGTATACGTGTAATGGGTCCGATGCTGTGGGAGGGGGCGTGTTTATCGCTACAGAACCAACATTAAAAATGATCACAATGTTTTAATTTTAATGTGGATAAGTGTATTATATCCTCAACAACTCGAAACCCTTACGGCGTGGGGTCCGGGCCCGCTTTTTTTTTAAACCTTCAAGTTCATGGCCCAGAAAATTCTCTTATATAGCAAAGAATTTCAGGGTACACAAATTGTGATTTGTAGGAATTTTTCGAACTATATTTTATACCGGTCTGCACCCATAAGCTGAAGCCGTAGTTGGCATTATATTTTGCCCCCCCCCCAAAAAAAGGCACAAAACACCCCCTTTACATAAAGAAAAGGCATGTTTAGGAAGTACTTTGTTATTTTGTGCAGTGTTGGAAGTTTCGAAACCGTCCACGCGTCATGTTGTAACATTAGGCCTAGAGAATTACCTTACTTCTAATAATGATACAAAAAGTTAAGCATTGATCGAATGTACTTGTATTTAGTATAAATAATATCACGGCAAACTTATTTGCGAGCGGGTTTTGTATCGATCTTTTGTAGATTTATCATGACCCTGTCAGCGTGCCGTTCTATTCTTTAAACAAAAGATTCGTAATAATTCGTAAGTATCGTAGAGTACCCCAAATTTGCGCTTACAAATATGCGCGCAACCAACTTTCTTGGCTCGTATCTTGTTTCCACGTCGTCAATATGTTATTCCCATATTCTGGTAATTAGTTTCAACTTTTTACTATTATTGTTTTTGAAAAATCTATGTTGGGGATTCAACGTACACATCCTTACTCGACATGTTATGACTTTATAAGCGACGACTTATTAGTCTGGCAGCTAGGTGGAGTTTCAATACCAATTTGAGCACAAAAGGTTTTGTGGTATGTCGGGGAGTATAGTTCTGAAATGGCCATTCTTTAGTTGCCTTAGGTCGGATCAAGTGGGTCAGTGGACTTCGGTAAAAAGTCAAACATTAAGAGTTTAATTAACATGTCGCGCACAGGTGCGCTTTTTTGGATTAAAGTGTTGAGACTCACCCCATGAGACCAAAAACGCAGCTCAAGAATGGAAGGAATCGGATAAAAAAAAAATTTAAATTAGGGTCATCGTCCACAGACCGCTGGGTCCGGGTTTCGAAACGGACGTCGTTGCATTTTTTTTGGTTTCCTATACACGCGCTCATTCAATTAGGGTTAATAAGAAATGAGAATAAAAGAAATGGAGAGGTTCCTATATTTTAATCCTAATATGAAACACACGCAATTAAAAAGAGCCGTTTCGGGGAACTTCGTTACCAAAACAGCAAATTCTGAGCGGACTACTTTTCGTAAGTTGCACTTCCAAAATAAACTGCGCGTAGGCTTGACCGTTAAACTTGAATAGCGCCCTCAATCAACTAAAAGTAATCGCGCAACCCGATCGTCATTGCACACTCACACTGTACAATTATTATGTAATCATTTACCATTCTTTCTAATCACAACAGCAAAGAACCCCTTTATCTATCTCAATCTAAATATGAACACACGTAACTAGCAGGAGCTGTTTCGGCGAGCTACGTCGCCGAAACAGCTAATTTTGCTCGAACTACTTTTCGTACTTTTACCCTAAACCAAACCTGCGTAGGCTTGACCGTTAAATTTGCATAGTGCCCTCAATTGTATTGACTGAGAGTATCACCACAAGTAATCCTCATTGAACAATGTACTCGGTAATAGAGTTCTTTCCAGTTGCTACAGTATACCAAGGAATTCGAACACACCTTACTTTCTATTTCAATATCGGGCGTTACACTATTGACAGCGCACTCTGTTCCTAATGTTTTTTTTTTAGCGCGCTCATTGTTACGCCGAATTGCCTATTCAACTTCACTCTCGATGTAGGAACCACCCCTCTCTCAAACTATTCTTCTTTTGTTTCTTTTCTCTCAATTTATTTATTTATTTATTTATTTCGTGTTATTTTACCAGGGTAGTCCCATCAGTTGTCAATGAACTGTTCTCCCTGGGGGCCCTGGATTACATAAAAACATGACAACAATAACGACAAAAATTACAAAAGACACAATAAAAGACATAATGAATACATTACTAAAAAATAATCCAAGGAGTTAAAACCACACAAATTTAAAACCGTAGATTAAAACAGACGATGTATAGATAAACAGATATAAAATGGAACATTAATCCCGAGTTAAAAATCATTGTCTTGTTTAAAAATTGACTTTCGCTTTTCCCTTGTCCATTAATTAAAAGGCAACTGTTCTTAAATTAACCATTCGTTTCACGTAGCGCGACCGTTCAGTACTGGTACTGGTCTCGCACACATTGTATAAGGCCAAATCCACAACACAGCGGTTGTTTTTTTTAGGGTGGGCCAAACATTATTTTGTTCCCCGAAAAAGTGGGTCCAAAATGTTCCGCCCCAAATTCGATATGAAAAGCAAGGGGGCACTAGGACTCTTCATGGCATCATTGCATGGTGGCTGAAATTTAATGCTGTACGTAACATGGCTGCCTTTTTTGCGACGTCACACTGACAAAAAAATTGGTAAAAACCTTGGCTCTGTCAATGAAGATGCCACAGTGAAAAGGGACATACATACGCAACGGCGGATCCAGGCGGGGGCCAACGGGGGCAATGCCCCCCCCCCCCCCCCTCTAAAAAAAAAAAGAAATTACCAATTACCCATTTCTTTTCTTTCTTTTTTACTCAGTGAGTAAAATTCCAGCAAGTTCAATATGCATGTTCTCCACTTTATAAAACTTGAGTTTGTCAACTCGCTATTACACAAAGCTGCGAAAAACGGGGGAAATTATATTTCAAGAAATAAAAAGGTCATCGTATCCACGTTTAGGTATATAAAAAGTCAGCGATCGTAATGCGGAAGAAATAAACCTATGAAGATATGAAAACTATAGTAAGATATATTAAGTTAAACATTCAGCAAAATAGATTTGTAAAAATATAGAAAATTCTTCAGGGATCAGTGGAGAGTACTATCACTCGGTTCCCTCGTATTTTTGAAGCAAAAGAAGCAGCAAATGACGGATGGAGATGAATAGCTTGCCTAGTTAGAGCGATGTACATCGAAATTCCGAGAAACAAAATTAATGGATTGAAGAGTAAGGTATTGGAATAGACCGATACTTTGCGGGGGGAAAATACGGCGAATGTACCGCATATACGAATACATAATTTCAGCCAAAGTGCATGTTCATGAAACAGGCTCGTTTTTTTTACAAGACATTTAAATCATTTGTTTATGACGGGAGTTTCGAAGTTTAGAGGGTTCTTTTTTACATACATGTATGAAGGCAAAGCGCAGACTGGAGCTGACAATCCTCTAAGTGTTTCCAACTATATATTAAGACTCTGAGTATGAAGACTGTATGTACAACAGCCTAGTGGTACCAGTCATCGTCCACAGACCGCGGGGTCCGGGGTTCGAAATGGACCGCGGTGCATTTTTTTGTTTTCAATACACGCGCTCAATCATTTACTTAAGAGTCTTAATTTCCCGTCGTCAAATACCAACCGACCTTAGCTCAATCAGTTAAGTCACCGGCTGGGACTGTCTGCGAAGTCCAGGTTATGCATCTACTCATAGGTACGGGGCTCTTTTGCTGTCTCGGCAGCAAGGCATAGGGTGTCGCCTCGTTTCCTCCCTTAACGGTGCTTGGCCCTCCGGGGTTACATGGATGGACAGGGAAGGAGGTGTGGTGGGCCGGGGAATCCGAGACCCAGGAAGAGCCCTATATGGGAGTTGGTAACCAATCGCGACCCCTGAATGCTTGGTCAACACCACATAACTTTTTGTTTTTCTTTATCTCATTATTTTTTTCATTGTCGAGGCTTTAGGCCTATAAGGTATACAGTAAACACGAAAAGGTTTTCTTCAAAAAGAAATTCGCCCTTAACATTTTTCCAGTTGGGCTACTG